TAATCTCTCCTGCTGTTTGACCTAATCGTGGTGGTTCTTGTCCCTTTTTATCAGCGCCAGAGCAAGAGATTGCGCAACATCGTGAACTTCTACCTGCTGACCAAGAGCCAAGCTCCCAGTCTCACCCCTCCCCTTCCCCCCAGTGGCAACGACTCATTTCTCTGACCTTTCACCCTTAGCTCCTACTTTAAGGAGACTAATTAATGTTTAAATAGCAGGAGCTCAGCCAGCAGGACAAGAGGAAGGTTTATTCGCCATTACGGAGCACTGATGAGGCCACGTTTGGACACCATGTCCAGGGCTGGGGAGAGGGCATCCCCGGGGCGGCCGGGGCACGGGACTGCCAAGGTGATGCTGAAGAAGCTGGGCTTGTTTTGGCTGGGAGAAAAGAGGGCTGAGGGGGTTGTGGTTGCCTTTCCCAACTACTTAAAAGGGGGCTGGAGGGAAGACGCTGCTCAGAGGTGGCCAGTGAAAGGGTAAGAAGCAACAACACAGTTTCAGTGAGGAAATTCCAGTTGGATATAAGGAAAAAACTGTTCCCTGTGAGCGGGGCACCTGTGGGGGGGACCAGAGAGGTAGGGGATGATCTCCATCCATGGACGTGTTCACCACTAACCCGGACAAGGCCCTGGCCATACCCATGGGCTTTGCCATCACCTCATTTGGGCAGAAGGGCGGATCAGAGACCCCCAAAGGGTCCTTCCAGGTTAAACTATCCTGTGATTCGGTGAGATTTGCCTTGCTCGCTGTGCAAGCACATGCAGTGAGGGTCCCACAGCAGTGTCTTCTACTGGGCAGGGCTCCAGGGTTTTGGCCAGGCCAGCAAAGGTGAGGCTGGGCATGGAGGCACCCTGCCCTTGTCTTGCTTATGGAAGGGGACTATGGAGCAAGTCTTGCATGTCAGGACTCTGTAGCAGGGAGCACGTGGCATACGTCCGCTTGCGCACTCACCCCAAAGGATATGTAGGCACCCATCACGCTGCCTGCAATGGTGGAAAAGCCACCAGCCATCACAGCATGTATTTCTGAACGGGTCATGTCTGCCAGGTACGGGCGGATGAGCAGTGGGGCTTCAGTCTGCGAGAGAGAAAACCCCGTGGTCCTTGAGGCAGGGCCATGCAGGGTCACAGGTCTCCTTGGAAGGGAGGAGAAGACCCTTCCTCTGGGGCAGGCTCAGCTGCAAGGGTTGAGGAGCTGAATATTCTTCCCAGAGCTTTACCTGTCCCACAAAAATGTTCCCTGCCACGCTCAGGGTCTCAGTGGAAGTGGTGCCCATGGAGACCTGAAGCAGCCAGGAGATCTGTGGAAGACAGGGCCACCTCACTCACAAAGGCTCCTGTGCCACCCACTCCATGAAGCAGAGCGCTGTTCGGCTCTCCAGCCCGCTGCACGGAGGTCATCTCGGGAAGCACCCACAAACCAGGTAGCAACATCAAGCCCAGGATTGGGCTTTCTCAGGAAGATGTGCAGGAAAGAGGGGTTTTGTCTCTATCCTTTTAGCAAGACAAATCACTCCAAATTAGTACCATCCCAATTTTCCTGGGACATCCCTCAGCTGACCATAGTAGTCAGAGAAGCCACCAGGTTCTTCTCCTTTCCACCACCATCTCAGAGCTGGGTATGAGGCCCTACCTTGACAATGAGCCACTGCATGACACCGAGGTAGTAGAGAACGGACATCACACAACTGAAGAAGACCACGATGGGCAGAGTCTGCAGGCAAGGCAGCAGGCCGCAGGGTTAAAGGAGAGCTGAGGAGCACATCTAAAGTACACTTGGGGACCAAGCCCCTCTGTCTCATGAGCTGGGCATGGTGTGGTGCTGGGGTGCCACAACGCTGGGCCAGTGTTGCAGGAGGGACAGGGGCCAGTGCAAATCCCCCATAGCACTGAGGAGGTCTATAGGTGGGTAAAAAGCTGAGGGAGACCCA